TTCTTCTGGAAAAGAACGTTTAGCAGATATAGCTGGTCCTTTTAGGAAGTGTGACGAGGCACTCAAACTCCTATAACGTTGTTCTGGAAACGAACCAATTTAGCAGATATAGCAGCTTCAAGAAATCTGACAAAAAAGTCAAGCTCTTATAAGGTGGTTACTCATAAAGGATCAAGCAGCAAATATTTTTGGTTTTCCTAACCGCTGATTATCAAAAGGATTGTTTGCAAAAAATTTTAAAGTCTAGCGTAAAAACAGCTTAGCTTAAGGGTTGATTGCAAAATGGACTGAGAACTTTTTTCCATACTTTGTCGTTGGAGAACGCGGAGTCCTGTTTCAACGCAAAGAACATAGTATGCATAAAATAAACACGCTCACTAATACCAGAGCCATTTCAGCTTTCTTGAGACATTCAAAGCTCACACGAAAAGGCCACAAACTTTCCGAAAAAGGCCATGTCTGATGTCTCGGGTTTCAAATTTTTCTTCAAACTTGGTAAGGATCTATTAAAATCCAAACCGATGGATAAGCACTATAACAAGTAGAATCACTTCTCAACTGACCACAATGTGATGCGAAATTTGATGGCTTATAGTGTTGTACGCACTATTAAAGGATGATTTTTGCCCTATTTTGAAACCAGCGAAATTGCTTCTCTTCTTCAGCACAAAAGGACTGAAATCCACCTCTTGTCTGTCCAGCTATGACAATAAATGCATAAGCGCGCTTAAGTTCAGGCACTTCGCAATTCTTTTTTCTTCCTGCCTCACCACTTCCACTAGCACTGTTTGTGGAAAGTGTATGTTTTTTAATATTTGATTTGCTCAGATTATGTTAATATAGGTTTGGAAACAGTCCTGCAAGAAATTTTTGAAATTCTTTTTCTCGCTACAATCACCAGCTATCTTTTCCATAGGCACAATTTATTTGCAATTCACCAAATATCAACTGTATCATCGGTGTTATTCAGCAACGAATCAAGTAACAACTTTGAGAGGTCAGATTTGACCAGTAATTTTTTGCTAAATGATGCGTCATTTATCGGAGCTGGTAACATTGAGGCTAACACCTATCAGATATAGTCTATAAGACCATTTTCGTTGGGTCCTTCCATTTTTTGAATTCAAGCTTTCAATAAAACTCTCAACTCTTTTATTTCATGTAAATAGTGCAGCTACTGGCTAGGGCTGCTAGGGCTGTTTGCAATATTGGTTTTACGCGTGAGATTCGCAGCTTCGGTAAATTGTGGTAAATCATAGAAATAAATTGCCCAAAATCGATATAATTTTTTATAAACCATGCGTTTCAAAAGAGGTTATGTTGATCCCTTAAGTGGTGAAAACAGTCGTGTAACAGATCTCATATTGCTGTCAGCAACTAAAGATATTACAAAATGCATGAATTTGTTGTTCTTCAGAGTATTCAGGGTCTATGGATTTCGGTCTTTACCTCTTCCTCTATCAAAACTTTCACCGCGGTCTTCTTGGCCTGGGACGTTGCATCCTGAGCTCGTCGCGTTGCCTCGAAAGACTATGGCGAGAACCGGTGCGAGGTCCGAAGGTAGGACGTTGCACTTTGATGCTGTCGCGAGAACCGGTGAGAGGTCCGAAGGTAGGACGTTGTACTTTAATGCTGTCGCGAGAACCGATGAGAGGTCTGAAGGGAAGACGTTGTGTTCTAGTGCTGTCGCGAGAGATAGGAGGTATGACAGGAGGACG